TAGCCATTTGAAGTCTCATCTTACTAGATGCATATTTAGAAATAAGAAGAAGGGTGACATTAGCGAGCACTTGTTATCCTTGAAAAAATGCTTCTGACTCAACTATAAAAGTTGAAACTTTTAAGTTTGATTAGGCTGAAAGTAAAATAGATTTAGGTTCAATGATCACCAAGCATAATTATCCTTTTAACATGGCTAAACATGAATTTTTTGAGACTTTTTGCAATGGTCTTCAATTTAGTTTCAAGTTTATGTTAAGGAATACAATTAGAGCTGATATCGTAAGAGCTTAACAACGAGAGAAAGAGAAATTGTATAACTACTTGGATTGACTTCCTAGTAGGATTACCTTGACCACTAATCTATGGACAACAAACCATCAAAACCTTTATTATATTTGCTTGACAACACATTTTATTAATGATGATTGAAAATTGAAGAAAAAAATTCTGATTTGTAAGTACATAAAATGCCCCCATGATGTGGATACATTGTTGAAATATATCACATAAGATTTTATGGTGAAATATTGATTGGAAGTTGTTTTCAATGGTAGTGGATAACGTCACAATCAATGATGTCATGATAAGAGGCATGAATACTTGGCTTTGTGATAAGACACTTTTGTCTATGGGTGGGAATTTATTCCATGTGCATTGTAGTGCGCATATTTTTAATTTAATTGTGCAAGATGAGTTGTTAGAGATTGAAAACTTTATTTATAAGGTTAGAGAGAGTTGAAATATGTAAACATAACTCCTTATTCGGAGCAAAAGTTTGATAATGCCATAAGTAAAGTTAAATTGAAAGGAAATTTTTTTAAAAAAAAAACCTAGTTTGAATTGTCCCATTAGGTGGAATTCCACTTTTGATATGCTTGAAATTGCATTGGGGGATGAAAGATGCATTTTGTTGTTTAGCACAAATAGATAGAAATTACAAGCACAATCCACCAGATGAGGAGTGGGAAGTTGGAAAAATATTGTGTGGTTGTATAAGGATTTTTTATGAAGCAACTAAACATTTTTCTGGCACAAATTTTTTAACTTCAAATGTGTTTTTCCTAGATATTTGTGACATACAACTCAATTTGAATAGGTGGAAAAAAGTCAATGGCACGCCCCATAAAATCCAAGTTTTTTAAATATTGGGAAGAATGTAGCTTGGTTTTAGCTATTACTATTTTTCTTGATCCAAGATTTAAGTTAGATTTAGTGGAGTATTACTATGCCAAATTTATGGTGAGGATGCTAAAAAATTTTGTTGAAAGAGTTCGCATTGCCTGATGGTTCTCATTTGAGGGAAAACAACTCTTGTAATTCTCTAAATCTTGATGGTTCAAGTGACAAGTCGAGTGGATTCAATGAATGATATGCAGAAGCTCGTGCTTTCAACATTCTTACATAAAAAAGATTAGAATTGTAGCAAAGATAGCTCGTGATGTCTTAGTTGTTCCAACTACTGCAATCGCATTAGAGACAACTTTTACTGTTGGTAGTCGGGTGATTGATGAGACACGTTTAATGACTGTGATAATTGGATTGAATAACAAAAAAAGAGAAGTATTTACATTTTTAAGTATTTAAATTACAATTTCATATCTATTTAATTATTGAGGTTTTCATATGTTTTTTATAAGCAATGCTACATGGATTTAAAATGTAGACTTAAAATATAGACTTGAACAATCACTGCTATTGATTTTATTGTGAGTCATAGCATTATGACTCACTACCTATTCAATATTTATAATTGATCATGCCTACATTTTAAGTTTTTATTTTAAGTCCAAATAGCATTTCTCTTTTTCTATTGTCTGATAAAGATTCTACACATTCTAGGGCGAGGAGATCAAGAAATGAAGTCTCATATTTTATTTTTGTCACTATCCACAGATGAAAAGATTGAAGAGATGGGGTGTGCATGTTCATGCAACTCACTAAAATTTTTGTTGAATATGAGCACTTTGTACATGTGCCTACTTTTGATTTTTAAGATATTGTGGGCAATTGGTGAAATTATACACTTGTACAGTGGGGGACAACCTGATGTAAACTTAATTTTTTTGTTGAATGCTATATTGTTGTAGCTTTCAAGTGCTCATTTTTGGGCTTTTAAGCTACTGTATGTGGATAATCAGGAGAAATAATAAGTTGACTTGTTTAAGATAATAACAAATGCTTGCCGAGTATTTTCTTGAGATATTTGATTTAGTGTAGAACTCTTAGATGTGCATATTTCATCCTCAATCCATTAAGGTGGATTAAGATGCAGTAATTTCAGTTCATTTTGCTAATTATTAGATTTGATCGGATCAGATTATTGGACCAAATCTCTCAATGTTAATGAATTCGGATATGGATTAATATTTTACAATCCACTGGATAAACAAATCAGATCGGATTGAGTAAATTGTAATCAGATTCGAATTCAGATGTAGCATAATCCAGTCCATATCTGATCCATTGACAAGCTTAGATATTAGTCCACACCTAAAAACTTGGAACATTGGATGAATCCAATTGTGGAAATGGATTCATACTTAAATATATAAAAATGAGAGTAGTGTGTTGTCCTAAATCACATAATTCGCCTATATGTATCAACAATTTTACGTTTGGAGTGCAAATTCGTGAATTCAACACATTCACAAATTCAAAAAATTGAATTCGCGAATATAATTTTTATAACTTGCGAATAATCAACATCCAAGGCCAACCCCACAAATACTCAAAAACTTTTAACTAATTAATGAACTAAGCCTTGGGCCCAACAAATCCCTCATTTAATTTAAGAAAAATTTGGAAGTTGGTACAAAAATTTGGACTTAATTGAACTAAACTATATTAAGGAAACTTGTTTGACCTTAAGTACATTTTTTTTTTTTAAAAAAAAGACTAAAATGTCATTTATTACTCCATTATTCTCTTTCTCTCTCTCACTATTTTTCTCTATTTTCTTTCGCCATTACTTTCTCTCTTTCTCTTTATATCAACATTATAACAATACAATTATACTAATCAGTTATAATTGTCTTATAATACATTAAACAATTACATTAAATAATTACACAAAATTATGATACAAACGTAATTTATTATTCAATTGTTTACATAAACCAAAGAGTTATACTATTTAGTATCACAACATAATTATATCAAATTGGATTTATCATTACACAAAAAATTTTACCATTAAATTGATATCATAATTTTGTGTCATTATTTGGTGTAACTGTTTATTTTATTAGAACACATGAATAATTATTTGGTGTATTATAGAACAATTATAATTGATTAGTATTTAATTAATATAACTGATTAGTATAATTATATTATTATAACATTGATATAAAATAAAGAGAAAAAATAACGATACGAGAAAATAAGAGGAAGACACTTAAAAGAGAAAATAAAAAAAAAAAAAAATCAAATCAAATATAATCTTTACACATTAAAAGGAACACAAATTAATGATAAATAAAGAAAAAAAATAAGAAAGATATACAAAAAAAATGGAGAGAAATAAAAGAAACAAATCAAGAAAAAATAAGAGACAAAAATGAAGAGAATAAAAATTATATATAATTTAAAAAAATAAATAATTAAAATTAAATTAAATTTTATAGTTAATCACATAATATTTTATTTAAAATTAAACTTATTAAAATAAATATCTATATAATAAAATAAGAGTGTGTTTGAATTTTGTCCCAGTTATATTTTCCCCTTCAAAACCATCACTAATCACTTATTTCACCCATCATTCTTTTATCAAACTCAAATGTCAAATCGCATCACTTATTTCTATCATATGTTTAATCATTTATATATTTTTTTTCTAAAAATATCATATCATTCATTTCTATAATATATCTAATTATTTAATATTTAATTAATATATAATTAATATATTTTAAAAAAATTTAATATAATAGAATCAATTTTTTAAATACTTAAATTTTAACCCAAATTAATTACTAACAAAATTTAAATAATATATCATATATCTATATATAAAATTTAAATTTTAAAAATATATTTTCAATAATTTTTATATATATTATGATGATCTTAAATTACTCCCATTCTCAATTTTTTTTAAAATTTTAAGCTTTTGCGCTCCCGCTCCCGCTCCCACACTGGTCTATATGGATTAGTTTTTCTCTCTCAATATTGCACTTGTCTCTCTCATCCCTTCTTCTTGTTTCACTCTATCCCCCCCTCCCTCATCTTTCATTTTGGATAAAATTTACTAACCAAATCAATTATTTCATCCAAATTCAAGAAATGCAAACATCTATCTTGAAAAAATTTATTTAGACTTCATTTAAAGGTGCAATGCATCATCAATTTTAAATTAACGAGTTAAGGATAGTAATATATGATTCTTGAAACTACTTATAAGGAGTTGATAAGAACATTAATTTTGTAAAAGGATGAAAGCATTTTTAAGGGACATGAAAGTGTATCATCCCCATTGTTACGTACTTTGAAAAACAAAAAAAATCATCTTTAGACAAAAACCATTGGCTCTTAACGGTACCAGCCTTCGTGAAATTCTTAAAAAGAAGGAAAAAAAAAAGATTAAGAAGACACCAGCTATAGGTCAGTTATTCATGAACTTCACAAACCTCATCTTTGCATCATTGCTAGAATTAGCAATTGCTATACTATGAGCACATTAAGTTTACTAATAAGATTGCATATCGAGTAGTAAGTTGTATAATTACATCAGGTTTACTTTTACGAACAAAATACTTGTGGTTGGTCAGCTACGACGTCAAGACAAATTTTCCAATAGCCAAATCAACCCCCTAACTATCCCACACTAAAAGTGAGACAATAGGAAGAAGAAAGGTTAAAAGGAGGCCAGACCCAGATGGGTGTTTATGTTCCTGCACAATCTGAAAGTCCCTGCTTCCAGCCAAAGACTTTTGATCTTCTTATGAGGAAATTGCATGACCAAAATGCAGTCCATTGATACTTCATCTTTCATCTACATAATATATGCGTATAGGACTGCAGTCGAAACATCTGAAAAAATAAACAGATTACATATCAGATATTACAGGTAATAATGTGAAGAAACTGTATTATATACAGCTAGGCAATGTTCTCAATGGAAGATAAACATGGAAGGAAGCAAATAAGTTAAAACAGTTGAAATTATAGAAACAGAATTAGAGTAAGAAAAAGAGAAGAAGAGGAAAGAAGAAAGGAGAAGAGAAAGAGAATAATTTGTGTGTACGCAATGTTGCCCTAACTCTCTTATTTATAACAAACTGACATTATGAGCAATTACATTATTACCTTACACTACTAATAATCTGAAATAATAACTCTAACAAAAACCTTATGAACAATAAGAGAGTTACAATTAGGTAGCAGTAAGTTTGGAGTGACAGTAGAATTATTATCAAAGGCAGCAGGAAGACAATTTGAGAGCTAAATTTCAGGTTGTGAACTCAAACCTCTAGAATAATTCCATAGGATGAACAAGCATTCCTGAATCTTCCCACAGTACATCTTTGGCATTTGGGTCTTTCCCTATCAACTGCAGAGGAACATCTAATGGTGGTGGACTCTGCATGCCAAAGACACAAAACATTCAGTACACATACCTGTCTTAGTTTCTTGGGAAAATTGCCCTTTTTTCTAGAAGAAAATTGCATCCAGATGATCAGTTGGCCTGTACAGTGAACTCATATTGATAGTTATGTAGCATAGGAAAATTTGTTGTTAAACAGGGATGGACGAGTTACAACCATGCAGCGGATCAGAGGCCAACTTATTCCACGAAAAAAAGCGTGTTGTTTGATTTGATTGGCACCACCATTTGATCCCAAACGACTGGCAGGGTCTCTTTGTAACAATGCGTTGATCAACTGCCTGGCTGCAAGGCTTACCTGCAATTCCATTACATTAAAATCACAGCTAATTATTCAACTTAAATTTCTAGGGAAGATGACTATACAAAATGCAAGCACCTTACACTCAAATGCTAATCTTTATTATACACATGATGCATAGGCAACATCCACAATCATCCTTTTTCTTGATACTGATGAGACTGATCACCATTGCTTTTTAAATTTTTAATAAATCCTTTCCAACTCTTCACTGACATAGGTGATCATGCATTCAGGCCAGTAAGTATCTGGCAAACCAAAAATGAACAGTTTAATGCAGACCCTAATTGGCTTTCTTTTATCAAGTGATCTCCAGCTAAATATACATTAAAAATTTACATGAGCTAGATTTAAAATATTTCCCCAGACCATACGAAGGAGATTCTCTGCATGATTACATAAAAAATTTCTAAGAGACTTCCTAACACTTCTGCACTGGCTATCATTAGTCAATCCTGCGGCTTGCTTTGGAAAGAGAAGCATGTCTCATCTCTGCAGTTAATAGAATGAAAGTCAAACTCAACACAACTTCCACCCTCGTCTCCTTTTGTTTTCCTGATGGACAAGCACTTGTTGAAAGAACCTGATTATTTTTAGTATTCTGTAGCATTAAGTTGCACTCTACACAAATATTGACCAGTCTGCAGTAATATCTTTGCAGTATCCTATCCTATTTCTTTTCGACTTTTATATGTTTCAAACTGTCAAAGATTACTTTAACTAAGTGAAAGAGAAAATTTTTCTTGACTATAACTCATCAGGAATACATGATTATACCGGAATGCTACTTGGAAAGGTGAGGTCTTTGTGCAAGATGTTGGCAAATGTCTTCTGCCTGTTCCTTCCTCTGAATGGTGTACGGCCATAGAGCATCTCATACAGAAATATACCTGATTTCAAAACATTATTAATTATAAAGGCCATATAGATAATAATTAACTGAATTAGCTGGAAAATTCTCCAGGAAGTAAGTTAATCACAAAAAATCCCAAACTCAGAAACCAAAAAAAAAATGCAAAAAAGCACTTGTTTGATGTCTTATGTAGATACATCCACTTCTACATGAAAAAAACAAACTTTTCAAGATAAAAAGGCTGTCCCAACCTACTAACCACGGTGTTCAGTTGCGCTCTGATTGTAAGCTTCTAGAAATCATTAGGAGACTTGATGAACGTGAGCTATCACTATACATTTCAATCAGTAGAGCAATCAATTGCAGTGGTGAAAATTTGAGAAATCAATTTCTAGTCATTCTACTGGTTATAGGAGCCACTAATGCGTGCACACACACACAGAGACACCTTTTTTTCTTTTAATAATTTTGGATTGTAATTGTTTCTCTGCATCTTAAATGACTATGAAAATTGTCCATAATAAGTCTAATCATACAATCTCACAACCACGATCGTAAGACATCTCTATTCAGAAGTGGCATTTTGGAAGACATTTCACTGGAAGATTCATGACGAACGAAATAAAATAGTATTGTAAACTATATTAGCATGATAAGTTATAGAGCCTCCCATTAACTTAAAGAGGAGGGGTTTTGTTTGCTACTTTAGTCCTTCATTTAATCCTAGGTTGGCCCAACTGACCTTGAGTTAGATGCCTTGGATGCTTTTGGATCTTTTGTGACAAAAGCAAGGATCAAAATTTCATTTGATGCATTATTTCAGTTAACTGGCAAAAGAAAATGTTTGAGAAATGTTTCACAAACAAAGAAAAAAATTATAATTTTGTTTGTGAAACATTCTAAAACAATGGTCGAAATGTCCTGATGATATTCAATTAATGATTTGCTTTGGTTTTCATGGAGATGGAAACGTTTTGGCAGTTTTGGCCTTTTCAAATGATATTCAGTTCCTTGATCAGAGCCCAAGGTCACAGATTCGTACTCATGCACTCAACTGAAAGAAAGAGAATACGGAATCAATTAAACACACATGCGCATACACAGAGGTTTATTGTATCATGCATATTCCATGTGCTTACCAAGAGCCCACCAATCAACAGCGCTACTGTGGCCATCGCCCGTAATAATTTCCTGTAAGTATGTAAGTATCCACAAATTAGTATCTATAAACATTGTTATCCATTTTACGGCACACAAGTCAACAATATACAGGTATTACGGAAATACAAGTGTGTCATTCTTTCCTTGGAGGTAAATAAACACTGTAGCATGGTTTAAAGGCATACACCCTGTTCTAGCTCAAAACTATGAAGGCTCAACTTAAAAGGAACATACTTTACCACCAGATTAAAATCTAATATATTTTCAATTGCAAGAGAAATGTTTCTGTTTTTCGCTAGATAATTATTTTTTTTGGCCCAACAAAAAAAAATATTCTTTTACTGATGTGGTGGCCACGATGGGATGCCGTCTTCAAAGAAAAAGGCCACCTGTGCATATATACAATTATTGTTCCTCATTGAAAATCATGGATACACTCCTTTCTTATAATTCCATTATCCATTGCAATATACTCCTTTGATTCCCATTTTCTTCTTCGATTAGAAAATGACTGTTTAATTATTTATTAATCCTGAAGCTGCATATTTTTACTAATACTTAGCCTTAAATAATAAATAGTAATCAGCCCCAAGATAACTTCTTTATGGACACATCAGTTTGAGTATCAGATTATAGAAGTGTTTGTCCGCACTCATCTTGCATCAGACTAGTCTGGTCCTGAGCCAAGAACTACACTAAATCATACTCACAAGAATGGGTATGGGTAGCATGATCATGACCGATATAAGGTTTAGAGACAGCGCATGGCATGCCCAATGTTACCACATGTCTTCTGATCTCCTATCATCTGCCTAGTGAGGATGAGCATTGGGACTCCAAATTTATTATGGGTAAGAGAATCACCCCAGTTGGCACTTATTCTACCTATTACCCCAACACCTCCAGGCAACCCAAAGACCTTACCACAAACCTGAACTGTGGTTCCGCTGGGTCATCGATCATCGTGGATCCTATCATTGATTTTCCCCTGGCTTTGCTTCTAACCTCAGCAGGCATTCTGGACAAGGAGGTGACCCCAGATGATCCTCAGAGTTGTCTCCCTACTTAATGTTCTTATCCCTATCTAGGGGAAGGATGACCAAGACTCTTTTGTTGTGGAAAAAGAGAAGTCAGGGAAGAGCAGTGGCTTCTTCACCATAAAGCGCTACATGGCAATTCATGAGTGACCATCCGTGTTCAGGAGGTTATCCCTTTTGTGTTCACCTATGATTTTTCATGTCAAAAATCTTGTGTCAAACTTGTTTCTAAAACTAAATCCATTTTATCTCAAGAATCTGAGGGCAATATGAAGACCTTGGATCTATTTGGAATTATTGGATGGCCTTTATGTTAGTTCTGAATGTTTTACCAGAGACCACGTAGAATGCTATTGTGGTTACCACCTTCAAAAAGAATCTTATTGGACCAGAAATTATTCAAGAGTTAAATACTACAAAGCCTGTAGATCTAAAATAGTAAACTCCCTTGAACTTCTATATTTGCTGTTATCATATAGATGTTTCTTAAACTCACATTACTAAGTTTGAACTCTTCTGAAGGTGGCATATATCACACAAATAAAATGAAAGAACCGCATAGTATTACTTTTATTTGTTTGTTTAATTATTTTCATTGATAAAAGCTTTTGTTAGATTAGCTGGGATGAGAGTTGAACCTCTCACCTCCAATTTCTTAGGGTGTTGGCAACCACTGGACCAAGTTTGGCTATCTATCCAGGGATATGCTGATTGGAACATTGGAGGGGGCATACAGTACATTAGATTTTTAACTAGAACAGAATCATCATACCGGAGCTATGTATTCTTCAGTTCCAACAAACGAATTTGACTGTGTAACTGGCTCTGCAACAAATTCTGGGCGCAGCTGACTCCTAGATCTTCTTTTCTTAGGAAGAGGATCCTTTATAATCTGCAAAACACAAATATTGCAGAAAAAGAGTCCCTTCAATTCTAAGATTTAATGAGCATCACACAGAAAGACCACCCTTGTTTGTATGGCAGAAGGGATAATTGCATGGCTAAGAAATATGGCATGGACTTTTGATGAGATATATGCGCATAGCAGTGGTCAGCAATTGATAGCGTAGCAAATATACTAAATGGAATCGAACAAAAGTAAAATGAAGATAATAGAACCAAGAAATTGAAAATACAGAAAAACACAAGGACATTAAAAAGCCAATACAAACCTTAAATTTGGCATTTGAAGGAGAAGATGAACTCCAATTCAGAAGATTATGAACTCGCTCTAAATTCGTTTTCTTATGATTCTATTAGACATCCTAAAAATAATTCTACTTTTTAGCTATTTCGTTACCATCGTTTGATACTAAAGAAAATTATGAGAATGGCATCAACCCTTAGGGCACGTTATATTGGTTGAATATTAAATGTGGGACTACTACCTCATATTGTTCGAACATTTGATGTGGAACCTGAAACACTTAACAAGGTATTGCTAATGGTACTGTTTCCGATTTCATATATGGGCAAAATATTCCACTTACAAATGATCAAATACGAATGCCAACCTTTTATGAGGATTTTTTTTGAAAGCAACATAAGAACTCACCCTGTAAATGCAGCATTCTTGATTTTTCAAGTAGCACTTGGTACAGGAAAGAAAAATAACGATCCTCCACATTAAATAAAGCAAAAATCATATAACAGAAGGATGACAACATACTTTGGGTTTACAGGATGTTTTAAATGATAGATCGAAGTCAGTTAATACAACATGCCCATCCTTTTGGAGTAGCACATTTTCTGGTTTCAGGTCCCGATAAACTATCCCTGCAAGATGAACACAAAAGAAAAAGCGATAATATAAGCATCATTTATCTGCAGAGTTGCCTGACAAGCGGAAATTTAGATTTTTTTTCACTAGGATAACTTGAAAGAATGGAGACGTCCTGCTGAATGTTTGAAATTCTGAATTAACACCTGATGATGTTGCGGATTGAGGGACACAATCACACACATAACAAGAAAGAGAAGTGAAAGCAAAATCAAAACCACACAGAATTTACATGGCTCTGTCAAACTTGAGGGCGTCCATGACTCCCACCTGACTCATTTCAATGGCAAAGGAACAGAGATTCAATAATGATGACCCCATATCTACAAATCACTCACAGATCAATCAAATCACAAAACCCTCTTGTTACACTCATATTCAACCCTCATAATCAACCTCTCCCAAAGTCTATACACGCTCTAATATATTCTGAGGCCAAAGAAAATACCAATAGGTTTGTTAGGGTCCTTGTTCCTATGGTTTCTATTAGTCATCCGCTATTATGTATCCTTCCTCTCCAGTGTCTATTCCTTCACTTCAGTAGACAAGTTGTCCCATACGGCCAAGCTCCACCAATACCAGATTCTATTGAGGTATTTCTTGCTGAGATGTCTAAATGTACTAGTAGCTATACAAAGCAACCTAGTTCTAATTTTGAACCTTTGCATAGACTTTCTTAATTTCTTTGTTGTTTCGCATCATCTTTGTCTTTTGTATTTGTTCCTAGTTCCTCCAATTACACCTTAGCATATCCTAGATTGACACTGGCTAAGGATGAGGAATGATTGCTCTTCCATAAATTTAGACATGGGACCTCATTCCTTCTAGTAAGCAGCTTGTAAGTTGTCAATGGCTCCATACCGTGAAGTATCATTCGGATGGCTTTGTTGTACAGCTGTGCGCACGGTTGGTTGCCAAGGCCTACATCTAGACAAACTATGTGTATTACTGTGAAACATTTTCTCCCATTGCTCTACTTATCTTTGTTGTAGTTTTGCTTTATGGTGCAGTGAGTTTTGATTCGCCTCTATATCATTTGGATATAGAGATTGTCTTTCTACATAGGGATCTACAGGAAAACTATATATGGTTCAGCCATAGTTTATGTTATTCTTGGAAAGGAACCATTAGTGTGTGACCTAAATACAATACTAAATAACCTCAAATAGTCACATTATCCATATTTGAGATATTTTATATTATTGCGCTTCAGTATGGCTTTTAACACTGCAGACTATCACCTTGTTCGTCCACCGATGTCATTATTCTCAATGTGGACACTGGTGACATTATAATCAATGACAATGACTCAGCGAGTATTATCCACTTTAAGACCCACTTAGGAAACAATTCCACCCCAAAGTCTTGAATCTTCTTTGCTACTTTATTGGATTTGAGGTTATCAACGAAAGTATGTGTCAGGTTGATTCTCTGAAACTGATACTTTTGGCGCACGCCCAGTTACTAGCCCAATAGATTACACAGTTATGTTGCATGCTGAAAGCAGAGAATTTTTTCCGGACATGGGGCATTAGTTTGGTTACTAAGCTGATTTATTTAATAGTGATATGCTTAGACATCACCTATGTCAGTTCACGTGTGTTCCTTGTAAGCCGCAAGGGGAGGCAACCTATTGTATTTTTCAGTGTTTGAAAGGAGGCCTGAGCAAGGATTATCATATCAACCGTCATTATCAATTCCATGACTATTATTAGGCTTTTCGTATTGATAGGCATGGAATTATATAGATAGATGGCCTACTTCTGGTTATTGTATAAGAAACAAAATGTAGCGTGTTATTCTAGTGTAGAGGCTGCAGATCTTGCCATGGATTAACTGCATGTGCAATGTTACAGGTTCATTCTCTACTCATGACATGGGTGCTGATGTGCCCTCTGCTATACATATGCATTGTAACAACCAGTTAACTATTTTTGTCAATTGTACTCCAGTGTTTCATGAGTGCAACACGTTTAAGTCGATTGTCATTCCAATTGGGATTGTTTACGGCGAAAGAAGATTATCACTCTATCTATTAAGTCTGGTGATCAACTAGGTGATATTCTTACTAGGCCTTTGGCTCGGTCCACCTTCATTAGGTTTTGTTTCAAGCGGAACAATTTTTATCTCTATGCGGGAATGCTAGAGTTGTTATCATAATGTTCATATTGGTTACCCTTCTAAAATCAGCCATAATATTCTAATAAGGGCATTTTGTAATTGTTTTCAGTATCTTTCTAACAGAAATAAGTGGTTAAGAGTGTAATGCAAAGGAAACACACACCACAGATATTCTCATAATGTACTTCAGCTACACTAATAGTGGCTAGTGGGTATTAAATACTAAAATACCCATGTAGAATGCCAAGACAACCTTGAACAAAACAGCCAAGCTGCTCAAAATGAAGTGCTGGACCTCCAGTTGAACAAGGCAGATGTCCGGACTTCATAGAGATATGAGGGGTACATCCTTGTGTCACATACAATCTTGTTCAACTCCAATTATCTCCAAAATTGCAATGGTGAATGTCTATATAGGCAATCCAGAAGTCGAGAAACACCAAGCAGATGTCTGGTTAAGCCAGTCGAACATCTGATTCAGCCTACACTACCAGATCAGTCTTCACAACTCACCATGGAAGACTTGATATTAGATTATCATAATAAGATGTTTATTAACTGAAACAGACTGAAATAATTACTGAGTAAAGCTTGCAACATCATAAGCATTAGTTATAAGATGATTTAGCTAATTTAGCAAAGGACTCCAAAATGCAGATAATATTTTTTTAAGCTGGAAATAATTAAATTAAAGATTAATGCACTAGAATTTAAACAATGGGTGCCATATGATAGTATATTTCCCAGATTCATTCACCGACACCTCTTAGTTGATTTTGAAAGATAAACCCCAACTAAGAATAGCATATGAATTCATAAAAAAATTTGATTATCCAAGAAAATCAGGAACAAAATATAAGGTTGAGGAAAGATATTCTCGAAGAAAATCAAAACAAAATACAGATGAAGAGTAGACACAGGATCCTACAAAGGCAATCTCTAAAACGTCATGTTGCTTTAGTATAAATTATGCAAGGACCACACAACTCTTTCCCACCAGTTTGAACGAAGATAAGGACTATTGAAATTTCTGGCATCCGCTCTACCCAAAGAATCCAAAGCAGTGCCATCGGTGCACAATTCCAAAATACATTTGCTTCATTGTTCTTCCCAAAACCCCAAACTTAATCTACAACTTCTCCACTGTAGAAGGGCAGCCCAAGTCTTACCAGTCGCATTGAATAAATCATTCCACAAACTGTATGCAAATGAAAAGTACATGGACAAATGAGAGGACAACAAACCAAACAAAGGCCTTGACATAGGAGGAAACTGTCTTTGCAAATTAATTTGGCTAAAAGAAAGACTTAGTATTCTGGGACTTCGGGAGTTTTGGGTAGAACGATAAAAAAAAGAAGATACCTGATTTATCAACAATCCAAATCGTACAATCATGAGAAGAAAAAGATGGAAATTGTGAATGGTAACAAGCAAAGAAGCTAAATCTGCTACTTCTCAATCATTGAGGCATCTAAAAAGTGAAAATCCCAAGAATAAAAGTCCACCCCCACAATAAGAAATGAAGATTTAGGTGCCCCACAGGATTGAGGTGGGGAGGATAGATGATAAAGATGGAGAAAAATAGTATTAGATGATGAATCCCTTATCTAATTATCCTCCCAAAATAAATCTTTAGATCTACCTCCAACTTTATAACGAGTCAAAGGACAAAAAGAAGGATATAACCTTGAAATGAATTTCAATTTACACATATATGAGTTACATTATGCCTCGACTTAGAATTTCTCCCATTCTTTTGAAGAACATTCTTACTCCTAATTATCTTATGCCAAAGGGAGTTTGGTTCTAATGGCCATAACTGTTTACCTAACAGAGAACTATCTTTTGGACACCAAATGCCCAAGTTCCTTCATCTATAGCCATACAAACTATATCCTAACCCATAATTGGCTCCGCTTAACATCTCCCATCCCTGGCCAAAGAAAACCACTCATCCTCTTCTCCAATGTTTTAGCAATAAAAACAAGGATTCTACAGAGACAAGTAGTATAAAGAAATGCAAGATAAACAAGCTTTTACCAAAGTGATTCGTCCTCCTATTGAACAATATGTCATTTTCCAACCATCAAATGTTTTGCTTATCTTTTCGACAACAGGGTTCCAAGACATCTGTAACACCACTTTCAGACATTTATTTTCAAACTTGAGAGTTCTTCAAAAAATTTTAATTAGCAAAAACAAATAAATCCATTCTCACCAACACATGTCTCTAGTCTTTTTTTGTTGGTTTGAACACAAGTCTCAAGTCTCAACAGTGTGATTCAGCAAATAAATCCTGTCCTTATTCCAGCCAATTACAAGCCATTATTAAAACTCACCCATGTTAATCACTGGATATCTTTCTCCTACCAGCTTCAACTTTATTTTTGGATCTCTCCTAGACAATATCAGGGACATTCGTCATAAATGCCAAACCAACATCTGCATATCCTTAAATTGACGTCTGCCTGAACTAATATACTCAGTACATTAGTTCAGTCTTCTAAGCTATCTCATTGTCAGCGAGTTTCTGATCTGAGAGGAGGTTTTTAAAACTATATGCATTAAAACACCAAGCAGTGGTTCGATTTTATTTTCTATTAGTCTCAAGTCCAATCCCAACACTAAGACTGTAGTATGTAATATCTATCAAAACATTAAACTGAATTCAACATTAATCTACTGGCATTCTGTTCCATAGACTCAAGAGAATAAAGAACGATGCAGATTCGTAAATGCTTAGAAATCAGGTCAGACATAGTAGAAGCTACTCAAGCCAAAAAGAAAGTAAATTGAAGGGGTTAAGAGTGGAAACCCTGTAAATTATTGGTCAAAAAAGTACCTAAGCAGTGAAGGTACTCCAAGGCAACCACGACTTCTGCTGCATAGAACCTGGAGAGTAATGGTAGTTAACAAGAGACATGCAAAAAATGTTAGGGAGAGTTTGCTTTTATGCTTCAACTGAAATCCACCAATAAGTACTTCTAGCCAATCGTCCTTTTCAAAACATATTGTACTCAATGATATATAAAGTCAAGAGTGCAAAATTTAGAAGCCAAACAGATGCACATCTGTCAATGAACCCTTGCATCCACCAACAAAACCAATGATTATATGTTTCTTCAAGTGTTTTTATTTTTATTTTATTATTATTATTATTTTTTTTTGTGGGGGGGGGGGGGGGGGAGGGGGTCTCTAATCGTCCACAATTAAAATGCAACAAAGCCTTAATCCAACTATTTTGGGTCGACTCCACCCAATACTAAAAGAAATATATATTTAAGGATATCCTCAATCCTAATTGTTCTGAAGCCCATCTGACTAAAGATAATAAGATGGACCCTGATCTATTTCTATAATTTCATCCTGGTTTCAATTCACAGAAGGGTTGCATGCAAATGCACATTGTTTACATTATAGAGAAGCTTCAAAACTACATCTTTCTTCCAGAAATATGCTTGTCAGAGTACCAACTACAGCAAATCTTAAACTTTTACACATTAGGCACAACAATCTGTCAAGCTCTCACATCCTTCCTCCCCTACTTGCATATGGAGAGACGAAAAGATATATTAAACCAAGTGCACTAGGTGCAATCAGATAAATAGAAAGGAATAGTAAATGTAGATGGCAAGACATGAATCCAATGAACAAAAAAACAAAGCTTCGGAACCAAGTTACACTACTGTTTTCCTCCAAAGTTGAAGCAATTAAAAAATGGTCAAATGATATACAAGCAGCTTGCAACATCCTTTCTGATGTCCCTTCTATTAGAGCATCCAACCCAAAACAAATTGGCAATGGGTGGAATGGTCCCTCAAATATATAACCAACCTTAATAGTCCTAATTATTCTATGTGGATTACAATCCCTCTTAACACCCTCCCTCACGCAGGACCTGGCTCGTACTTGGGTCAACAAACAAACAAACAATAATGTATATCGGTAAATTCAAATGTGTAAGAGACTTGGCCTACGGACCATCCAAGCCCAACTCTGATACATTGTTAGAGCATCCAACCCAAAATCAACTAGCAATGGGTGGAGTGACCTCTCAAATATATAAACCAATCTTGATAGTCCTAATTATTAGATGTGAGATACAACTCTCTTAACACCTTCCAGCATACAGAAAGAAACATATGTAGAGAGGCCTGCAAACAGTTGCCGAATGAGTGCACAAGTACAACTGAAGAGACTCAAAATGTAAATCTTACTAAGCAAAACTACAATACCATGTGGTGAGGGAGAAATTTCTTGCTGAGAGAAATTCCACTCCACTCAAGAAAAATAATTCTGTCAGTAAAGTGGTCATAGTAGCTTTAAGTGGTCACAGTAGCTTTAGATTCTTAGATTAAGTTGATTCAAGACATTTTTATTAGGGCTTATGTAATTGTAAATTTTCAAGCTGGCAAATTATTGGAGCATTATGTAGCATGGTGCTGACCACACTACTGTAGCAGTGAACAGGTTGGGTTCATTCTATTAATTTTTAAACTTCGTTCATTTAAGCTTTAACTAATGGGTGAGATTTGTTTGAGTCAAGGGTTAGGATTTATTGTTTTTATGCTTCAAAAATCTATAAAAGGCTCGTAATACTGTATTTAATATGTGGTGATGTTGTTCTTAGGGATTTATAGTTGGGATAAACCTTTGTTGAGTTGAGCTGTATCAAAACTTGTTTCTTCTTCGGCAACACAGTAAGACTGTTAATACTACAGTTCCTTTAAAGGATAAATGGATGAATTGAATCAGTATCACTCTGCAACCAAGGTTGTTCGCATTCTTAAGAAAGACTATGAGCCATTCTATGTTTTCCTGTTTCTTTGTGGACCATACCAACCTCCATACTCTAAAGGGCAATAGAGGTAGTGGTTTTGATGAAGTCTCTGGAGAGCCAACACCCAAGGAAATAATGTTCATAACTGCACTTATTGTGGGGTAGAAAATCACATGGTGGACCATTCTTATGATTTGCATGGCAAACCGTTGTCTAACTCATTAACCAAGTTATGCACTTGTATGCCTCCATTGCATCTCATCAGGAAGCTTAGCATTCCAATTCCTTTTGTTGCTGCATCTACTAGTCATTCTGTCTAATGTGCCAGGAAGGAATACAATGCTTTAGTTCTGCAACAACAATTATCATTATCCTGCCTGCTGCGTTTGCTTATATAGGTTATATAGCATGTTTTTCATCCTGTCGTTCAACCTCACAGGTAATAGACGTATAAGTTTCAGTCCATATGACTGGAAAACTAACTTACTTTCCACTTTAAATAATCAGTCCACTCAAATCTTCAATTTTTAGCTGACAGTTGATCTTGTGATATTGCTGGTAGTGGTACCATTTGTCCTGCTTCATCTCTTAGGTTGTCTTTTGTACATTATAATCTGAAATTTCCATTTTATCTTGTTGGTTAGCAAACTTTTATTCTAGTGCCTCTAACATTAGCTATATAAGTACTTATAACGTTGGTA